GCCACTCTACGGATCATCATTGAACAAAGCTTGGAATGGCAGTCACCTCTCTATCTCAACTTCATCGACTTTGAAAAGGCCTTCGACAGCGTCGATCGAGAGGTCATTTGGAAACTACTTCGCTACTACGGGGTCCCATCGACAATTATACACCTCATCCAACAGTTATACGACAATGCTGCATGCCAAGTAATCCACAACGGGAAACTTACGGAAGCCTTCGAAGTGAGGACGGGAGTGAGGCAAGGCTGTCTACTATCACCAATGATCTTCCTGATTGCAATTGATTGGATAATGCGACAGACAACGGCAACCAACGAGGGAACAGGCATAAAATGGACTGACACAAAAGACTTGGAGGATCTGGATTTCGCCGATGATATATGTCTGATTTCCCATAAACTGGAAGATATGCAAGTGAAAAGTAACAAGTTGGCAGAAGAAGCATCAAAGATAGGACTTCACGTGAACATAGATAAAACAGAGATAATGAAGATTCCTAGCCAACATCAACAACACCAACAGACCACAATAAGCATAAATGGGAAGAACCTGAAAGAAACAACCTCCTTCACCTACCTGGGAAGCATCGTCTCAACTACAGGCGGAACTGACGAGGACATCAAAGCCAGAATCGGAAAAGCAAGACAAGCTTTCATTACTCTCAAATCTGTGTGGAGGTCAACAGCAATCAGCATCAAAAATAAGATCCGGATTTTCAACTCCAATGTGAAGTCAGTGCTACTATACGGATCAGAGACTTGGCGAGTCATAAAGAGCATCTCAAACAAACTTCAAACCTTCATTAACAACTGTCTCCGCTCAATACTCAAGATCAGATGGCCAGAAAAGATCAGCAACAGGGATCTCTGGGAGCGAACCAATCAGGAACCGATTGTGAAACAAATAGGCAGAAAGAAATGGAGATGGATTGGCCATACGCTGAGGAAACCATCAAGTGACATCACTAGACAAGCCCTCGAGTGGAACCCGAAAGGGAGGCGGCGAGTTGGTCGTCCAAGGGTGACTTGGAGGAGGTCATGCGAGGAGGAGATGAAAGCATGTGGACAGACCTGGAGCAGGGTGAAAAAGTTGTCAGAAAACCGAAGTCAATGGAGGTGCGCAGCTGAAGCCCTATGTTCCTCTAGGAACTAAAGGATACAATAATAATAATAACTTCCCTATATTTTCGCGGAGACATCGATACACCAGTCATCGTCTCACCGGTCGCTGTTCAGAAAGAAGTCAGGCCAAAACTGTCAGAATAATATTGTGATTTATTATTGTAATATTTGTTCATAGACCTTAGTTTAAGCTTAATTTTAAAGTTGGCAATATATTGGTGTTACAATAAAGAATTCTCGAGTAGCCAATCGGTGTTTTGGTTTTGCGTCCGTTATTACTAAGCGTTTCTGAGAAACTTCAAGGAACAGCGTGAGTCCCAGCGTAGTAAGAGCTGGGCATTGACGGTTTACGAGACGTGGCTGACACTGGTCTTCCCATGTCTAGGCGATTTCTAATGTAGTATTTCGTCTGACTTTTCACATTAAGAAGTTAAGGCACTCAAGCATAACTCATCCCCTCCTCTTACAGTTTGTCAATTCGTGCATCTTACCTATACTTGACCTGTTCTTCTTGCTTTAATCACGATACAACCGTGTTTTGCAGAACTCATCACACAGCGTATCAGCCTTAAATGTATACCACATGTAGGTATAATGCTTATGAGCTAGGTATGCAAATCAAAGTAAACGTTTGTACGGTGTATTCATGAGTTATAAGACTAACTAGTACGTAAGAGCTAGGATTTGACCAGTTATACAACGTTTAATATATTTAGACACAATTAACCTAAGCTGCTTACTTCTATTACGCATTACCACCTAAAGCTACGCAGTCACCTTAAAGTGGTTTCCGCTGAAGGTAATCACCATTAGCACCTACCTTACCGAGCAACTTAACGTTATCTTTGAATTTCAAAGTAAAAGCGGACATCCTGGGGACCCTCTTGGTAAAAAAATCGTCTCCTAGTGGAAAAATGGATATATCCTAATCTTCACGAAGGCGTTTAGAGGTATTCATCCTATCACCTCAAATGACTCACTATTTGCAGTCACTTAAAAAGTAAGAATAAATTTACCGAAGACGGTATACTTATGACTTCTAGATATCATAATGTACCATGAGGGAAAACCTTTATCCATAGGGTTATAGCGGTTAGAAGCGCGATATTAATCCGTAACACGATGACTACGATTCTGAATCACAGAAAATCCTACTTTGATACCTAATCTTCTAATAGTATTAACAGATGTTTCACCAAGAAAAAGAAAACCGATGGTTTTAGGAAAATTTATTTAGTTTCCATAAAGTTCATGGGCATCCGTATTTATAGCCACGGAGAAATCACAAGCATCCAAAAATAGGAATTTCACTATTTGAAATGAAACAAGCAAACTGTATTCAGCCAATATTTTCACCCCGAATAATAATCAGCTCTTCAGCTTGTTGTAGACCACAACCCGAATGTTATTCTTGCTAATTAAAGTCTTACCTTTAACTGGGATAGTTCGTACACTCACCAGATCACCACGTTATCCGCTTTTGAAGTGGTTTTGCAACACACTGAATGGCTGTTAACACTGGCTTTGCTACAGACGGTCTTAGTTCACGTATTTGGATCTAGTATATTGGGCATTAATAAACATAGGTAACACTTACCATTCAGGGGTTTCTCATTGCTTTCAAGTTTCCTTCAGTTCCAAAACTTCTTACAGGCACAACAGATTCATACTTCTCATGTGACTCAACCTTGTTTGATATAGATTCTCTGACAATATATCTGATTCTGTAACTGATAATATAAATTGATGGTATACCCAGCTTCTCGAAAAGCTTCAAAGCTTTTTCAACTTCAAACCGCGTTCTGGAACCTCCAGGTTCAATATGCTTTTCGTAAACCTTGCCAATATCAAACCTGATCGTATTCTCCTCACCAGATTGACTCGCAGATTGCTGCAAGCTGTAAACATGCATGTGAAAGACATAGCTTTTTTCAGATTTCTACATACCAATTAATCATTTGAGCAAGAAACAATAACGGCAACCAGAAAATGGACTAAAAACAACGGCTTTTGTCAGCTTAACACGTTCACGTGCATATTTTCCTAAACTTCCACGCAGAACTGCTTCATTAGTAGCTGAAAAACAGCTAAAACATTGCAACCAGGCATGAAAACAACGTGTGAAACAATTGTAATGGAATGAATGCACTGCCCTGGTGGTAAAAACTTCCGAAACATACGAAATTAGTAATTTTAACAACAACGGAAACAAAAATGAGGTGAAACGCAACATTTGTGGACAATGTGCATCAATATGAGTTGTGAATAAATGCAGGATAAACGAGAAAACCGATGTTTAAACGAAAGGCTACGGAAATGCAATCCAACATGGCCGACTAATATGGACGAAAATGACCTTTGAGCATCTCACTCCGTCAATAATCTTGAGCATGCTGGATAATTTCAGCCTACTTGCTTCGCTTGCATTTCGCAAGTCTGGAGTTGGTAGACTGTGATGACTCTCATGATAGAGGACCCTGACCCTGTCAGCCTGCAGTATTCCTCTAGGAAAGTGATGAAGCCAGGAAATCATTAACTGACCGACCGACATGATATGGTGCGACAGATCTAAAGACTTAACAGAATTATGATTCGGACATAAGGGGTTCAAAAGTGAATCTGTAACAGACGTGACAGCAGTGGATGTCGTGAAACACACGAGGTTAGCACACGGTCTTTGGGAGTGGGTATATGTGGCGAAGTGTCTTTTCGAAAAATCAACTTAATTACGCTTATTCTTATCACGCGAAGGCAACTGAAAATGTTGTTAGAAGTTTTCATTCAGTGGTTGCATCGATTTCTGCTTTCGCTCATGGGACGGTACAAGCTGCCACGAAAAATCACACTGGTTTTGTGGCACTTATGAAAGCCTTCGTCCATTAGAGGAATAAATTTCTGCAAACCTAGCATGACATTTGGCGGTAAAAGGGAGATTAAGCGTGGGTTTATGATCATCAAGGTAAATCTTTATGAACAGCTTCTGCTGGTTAGTTAGCACGAAGTAGGTGGTGAGGTCGGCTTCCAGAGAGTCGAATAAGTAAGACGCAGAGTCATCCACATGGACTATCATTCCCCAAATACTGTTTGAAAGCAAGCTCATAGTACACTAGTTCGGCCCATTTCCTTGCGAGTAGGTATGTCGCAAGAAGAATTTCGTTTCAACTTTGATGAGAGGCGACACAGATGTGAACAATAGGTACCAACATATTATACAAAATTACACATGTATTCGAGAATTGGCTCAGTAACAAAATCAAATTCACTCATCCACAAGTATCTTTCATAGAACAAATTCACGAGATCACTCCGGATATAAAAGTGGTAACTATTCAAATACCATCAGCTTCCAAATGAGGCAGGTACCAAGCAAACTAGGACGAAACAGCTGTCCAGTACTCCCAGGTTTTCCAATGGTCCTCAAACTAATGTCAGCTCATGATGAAATCCTTTAACAAATCAAATCCCTACAAATCAACACCTGAATATCAAAATAATTTGTTTGACTTCTTTTTTCTAACCATCTGTGCAGTCTGAAATCACAGGCACTTTTGTTTTTCTTAATTCTATATTAGCCATCATTAGTATATATTCGCTACTGTTCTTGTCGCTCCGCTCTTTTATAATAATTGTAGACTTACTGGTGAGGGAAAAACTTGCATTACAGCAGTACCACAGTCAAAATACCCAACCTTAAGACGCAGATGTTAAAAAAATCCATAAGCCTAAGGTAACAGTCGGTGGGTGAAAAGTTGGATACCACAGAAGAACCATCGCAGATCAGACAAAATTATTTCACCGAAAACAAAGGGCTCAGGGAAACCAGTCCCTTATACTAGCCCGTAGAAATGAACTGAATATTGAATAGAGTATGAGGCTGTTTCAAACGTGTACGCTGTAAGATTTTTGTTTGTAAATTCTGCTCGAGATTTTTAAAGTGAGATGAGTAAACTTTATTGCATGGTTGACATCCAGTCCTGTAGTATTTGTTTAAAGTGTCTTTTTGTTCTCGGAATTGAAGTCGATGACGGTGATATATTAGTTTCATTTAGATGTAAGAATACCTAGCTAGCATTTTTTTCGGGTGCATTGCAGACTCCAGCTAGTGCTAGGTGGGGTACGTACTCATGGGAAGACAAATATGCCGAATGAAGACCAACTGCATTAAACTCGACTAATAGGATATTTAGCCGTTAATAAAACACGATCTCGAAACACTTCTTATGGGTGAAATACAGGAGTTGTATAGCATACTGAAGCTTACTACAATGCTGAATTTAATCTCACTAAATCTGAAATAATTCTAACATTCTGAAATGGATTCTTTAATGGCACAGACTACAAGTCATTGCTGGTGTTCTTTTTCTAGGCATTTTCGGTTGTAGATCAGAACCTACTGGCTTTGATTATTAGCGTTGTTCCAGTGCTCACAGGACATATTAAGCGCGGACTAGCATTAGTGCAGGACGAAGAAACTTAATTCAGCACCCAGCTCTCTTTCTAAGCAAGATCAGCGTTGTTTAAGAACGTAGTGGGTAGTTGCCACTAAATTTCCGTAAACCGACATCGATTTCTGTACATTGACTCATCGAGACTATGCATATTACCTAATTTTGTGAACCATCTATCGCTTGAATTCTTTTTATAAACGTTCCAACAATCCTCCTGAAGAATCGATGTGGTTCTATCAAACGGTTTGACAAAAGTATAGGAATAACTTTCCATGTTTCTGGAAAGCCCCTTTCATTTGGGTAATTTTGTTCTTCTTAAAAGCCTGATATTGCAGCAGCATTAAAATACAAGACTGAGATAAATTTGCAAATGAATCCAAGCGCTTCATGCATACAAAATCCTTTTTAAAATGAGATACATTTGGGTTATACTGGGCCATTCTGTTGGACAATACCTCATGTCGCTACGCTACAGTCTACATTAATACCTTTCAGAAGAGTCTACTGAACATCGGTGACAACCAATAAAGTAAAACTAGACACTACTATTCAGTTTATTGAAGAGATTTGAAGCATATAAGGTGCATCCGTGGCACATCAGTAGAATGCTCGCCAACCATACGTGGCTTCAGGCTCGGCCCCTAGCCCACGCACTCACCTCGCCGGGCCAGTAGTAAGACTGCTAAAAAAGGAAGTTTGCGCAAGTAGCCAGCAATCCCATCCCGTAAAAAATAGTCACTGGGAGCGTAAACGAATATTATATATATATATATATATATATATATATATATATATATATGAAATCATGTATGTATCCCAAGCTCATGCGATTCGCTCCCGCCAAATGCAAGATGATGTTACAGGACTGGACTACACCGACTCCTGGATTAGAAATAGGAAGTGAAATGATAGAGCACGTCGACCACTTCACTTACTTGGTAAGTAAAATCAACCAGTGCCAACGGGTTGATCTCTGACGAAATCTCAGCACGGATACAGAGGGCTAGTTTCGCATATGCCAGTTTACGCCGTCTCTGGCGTAGACGTGATATCCGGCTGACTATCGACCAAAGGGCGTGTGTACTGCTTATCAGTCCGCTCCGTCCTCATTTATGGCTGTGAGACCTGGCCACTGAGAGGGGAGGCATGAAAAGATTGGCTGTCTTCGATCATAGGTGCCTGAGCTCTGTTTCCCGTGTGAAGTGGTATAATAAAGTGAGCAATATTGAGGTTAGGCGTCGAGTTCTAGGTAAGGAGGGGAAATCAATCGACGAGGCTGTGAAGCTACATCGACTAAGATAGTTAGGACATGTGTTACGCATACCTGCCTAGTCATCGCTTTCCTCGATGGGTAATGTTAGCTGACATAGGGTCTGGCTGGAAAAGAGCTAGCCAGTGGCTGTCAAACCAAAACATGGCACCAGTCAATGAAATCCACAACAGTTAGTCTAAGCCACGTAGGAAGGTGTAGACTTCCTGGTTAGGGTCCTCGGGACGGTGAAAACCAATGGCTGGAAACAATTGGTGACATGGGTCAAAATTGTTCTCAATGGCTGGTGCAGATGCATCCACTCCTTGTGACTTATGATCTCCAATGAAACTATATTGTTCTTCGTTACTACTATTCCTTTATCTCACACCGCATTTTACTATCTCTATTATGCATTTCTTCTACTTTCTTCTCTTGCTTTGTGTGCTACACGGTGTGGTTCTATATCGAAAACAGACAGACAGAGAGTAGTTAAGTAATGGTGTATAGTTACATATAAATATTTAGTGCTTGCAAAATCTATAGGATAATTCTAATTTCATTTTAACCTATACATAATTTCATGTTTACTTTTTAGAATCCTTATGATATAATAATATCCCATCAAATGGTGATTGGAAGAGTGAGGACTATAAAATGAATTAATTGGGAGCATAATTTTGAACAACATAACCGGTTACGTATGTGCATTTAATCTACAACAGCTTCAGATTTACGGCAAATGTAAGTTGTTTAGTTGGCACATACTTTAAATCTGTGTTTATGTTCTTTAATGCTGCCGGAAAATATTAGTGCTAAGTCACAATGTATAATAGGGTTAACGTGAAATAACCTCCCTATGAATTATTACTTTAATAGGATTTGATTCATTTTGGACTAGAAATGTTGAAGCTTTCGATCGTAGCTCCATTTTTCTTCTCGTTATTGACAAGGTTCTTTCGCAAAATTTTCTGTGTGAACGACATAGTTTACCCCTGTTATATGAAAATCATTGAAGTTTAGGATCTTTTCAACGCTCTGCATGAAGCTTAAAACCAGTATGTTTTCAAATTTATTCTCCATCAATATTTTCTGAGACAGTCTCTAACAGTAAAAGACAGAAAATCTCCACTTTTGAAGGATTATAAATCAGAACTCTGTTTTCCAAAACAATTTTTTCCGTGCCACGCCATAAGCCACACTTATTGTGGGAAGGCTGATATGCTGCGCACTTATTCTGCCTGAAGCAGGTATGAGCATAACTGAGGTCATCGGTCTATTGACTTAAAACTAGTAAGCTATATCACAACCGTTTTTAAAAGTAGGTTTGTTCACATATGTATGTAGTTCACATATAGTGGAACCACATTCGAAATAATGTCTAAGTTAGACGTGGAGCGTTATGTAAGATAAATCAGTTAATTGTGCACTTAGTTTCGACATGAATTGTTAGAACGTATTCGGAGCTACTGTCTTCCACAAGTTACATTAAATAAAGTAAGTTACAATAGATGACCGTGAAATATGAATGCGGAGCTGTGCACATTTATGTGACATGTTAGGTCGTGACGTTTCAAAATGCATACGTAGAGTAAAAGAATAGAAATGCAATGGAAAAACATGTATACTTTGGCATGTTATTCTTGACTATGACATCCTTAACTTTTGCACTATTATGAAGGATTCTATATCGATTTACGAGGTACTTTGCTGACTATCGATCAGGTTTGGGTAAAATAATTAATTGCGAACTGTTCATCTCAAAAGCGCTAAATTTTCGCGATTGGAACTAGCTTGATGAATGTGTCTTTCCCTACATTTATCTGTTTACCTTACGAAAACTCAATATGATTCTATTCATTTTTACACCTCTCCAGCAGCTACTCAGAATCCAAGAGCATTTTTAATATTCTGCTCTTGATCCGTCACATCACAACTAGTCCAATAATCTTGGATTATTATCGAAGTGTGCTTTCTATATGTGGTCCCCAATTCTTAATGTCACTTCTCATCTCACTGTGTCTAACTTTCTGAACACCTACTGGATTTGAAGACCTTAACCGAGACTGTGAATAATTTTCGGGAATAAGGGGCTCTGGAAGCCAACCATACTGTAGTCTAGTAATTTATTATTAGAGTAATCACTTATATGCTAAAGTCAGTGATTCAATTTCTTTAATCTAAACTTTTGCTTGTTTTGGTAAACTTAAATAAAACTATCTAAAGATCCATCGTCCTTTGCCTATTCACCTTTTAAGATTGCAATGTTTTCTATTGCTCTCATCATCGTCGTGTATCCTCATTTTAAGCATACACTTCGGTTTAATCCTTCTCAAACTTTTCTCTAAATCTGTTGGTATGATTCCTTGTTAAGCCAACAATCTACATGGGCCGCTAAATTCTTGCCTACTGACAGAGCACTGAAAGGTTCTTCTAGTAACTTGAAAGTTCTAGGCTGATTCCCTTGTGACATTGTAGGTTTGTTTAGGTAAATAATTTAAAACTAGGCTGAAATTACTCTCCAGTATTCCTTGCTTGATTCTTAATAGTTCTGCAGTCGATATTTATTCATGATATTGATAAAAATTTGTTCTCTCAATTGAAAGGGCTATCTATCTTTATTTCTTCTTGCAGCCGGGATTATCAATACGAAATGAACTTTAAAAGTCTCCTGATTGAAAATCTTCAGTTTTAAAACTAACGTAAATACTATTTGTATAAATATGAACCGAACGCCTAAAGAACGTCTAGAGGACTTATTTCGTTCTGCTGAAGATTTCACTATAGTACAAAACATTGATGTTAGTCATTATGCACGGTTCATAAGATCGATGTTTCGTTTATCTGTTCAATATTCAGAAGCAGACCAAAAAGAAAAAGCTTATATACTATGCTTAAGAGCTGTACTGTGCATTCGGGAACTTCCTACTCATAAGGGCTATCCAAAATTAAATCCACGTGTTCAAGGTGAGCTGAAAAATCTTGGAAAACTATTGCTAAAGTCCGCTGAAATTTTAAAAGATGATTTGAAGAAAAAGTATGCGGAAGAATACAACATTCACAATAAATCAGATACAACTGAGTTCAAAAATGATGCTAATGGTGGAGTAGGAACATATCTTAACCATGATTCTGATTCTTCTGGAAATTCATCTTCATGTAATGGAACATCGAGTTCACAGTGTAATACAGCTATCAATTCTATCCTTGATCATTCTAAGAAACCTTTTTACAACTATACAGCGCACTGTAATCTAACCAAAACATATTTATCACGACACCTAATAAGTGACTTTTTAACTCTAGCTTCTAAAAACACAAGAGAAAATCGCGAAACATGTGGTACTCTTTGTGGTAGACTAATTGACGGTAATTTCTACATTACACATCTTTTAATCCCAAAACAAAGTGGCACTTCAGACTCATGTGTTACGTATAAAGAAGAAGAAGTATTTGAATATTTGGATAGCAGACAGTTAATCACATTGGGTTGGATCCATACACATCCTACACAAACTGCATTTTTGTCAGCTGTGGATTTACACTGTCAGCTTTCATACCAGGCTATGCTTCCAGAAGCTATTGCCATCGTGTGTGCTCCCAAGTTTGATGATATCAAATGTTTCTCTCTAACCTCTGATCATGGTATTTCATTTTTGTCAAAGTGCAAACTAACCGGTTTTCACCCACATTCTACAGATCTCCCATTATACGAACAAAGCCAACATGTGATATTTGATGATACTGTTGAACATTTTTCCGAAGATCTCCGATAGTATATCTGTTGCAATGTACAAAAGAAACTATCTTTTTTGTTATCATACTTTTAATTTGTGCTGACTTATTGAAAGTAACAATCTACGACCTATAATCATTTAATAATGATATTTTCGTCTATTTTTGTATATTTCAATGTTTAAAAATCTGTATTTGTGACAAAGAATACTTCGATTTTAGCTATGTCAAGCATTTTAAACTCGTATTATAAGTAGTTCACTTCAGGACTCACCTTTAAGATGAGATTTCCTCACTTCTAATTCTACTTTATATTTGTAGTCATATTGGAAAGAAAATGCTAAGAGTAACATATTGCAAAATGAAGTGGTCATTGATCTCTAGTCATTGTCAAGTCAGCCTTTTGGTGTCCATGTAACAACTGAAATAGGTAGTGAGAAACTGGGTTTTCGGTGCAAAAGGCTGACTAAAATGACACACTATCTTGGTCTTTCTTGAAGTAAATAGCTTACTAGCCGTTGTTTCACCTTGGAGACTTTGCAAACTGTTCCACTTCAGCCTGCAAAATTAGCATAGGTAGAACGCCGGCACACTTCCAGTCAGCAGTACAACTTCACTTTCAGACACTTTACTGTATATCGAATCCTGATAGTTTTTAACTTTCATTATTTTACCAATATTTCCAGAGTAGCTTATTGTATTACCGTAGCGTGGGTCGCTTGACATATCCAAAGGTATTAGCTGTAGGTTGATATGTTATCATCAGCATAATGACAAATCTCACGTTTTAACTTGCTTTGTGATAGTGTAGTGTAAATACTAATCTTCGGAGAGTAATACATTTTGATTTCTCGGAAATGCAATGAAATCCACTCCCTGAAAGTAATTTAGGGGGTATTTGAGTTTGTCTACTCGTTCCACCTGCTAGGTAGGTACGTTATGTACTATATAACAAAGCTCATTTCTGCTAACCAAAGCTAATAACTTAAAAGGCCTTTACAGAAAAAAAATTGACTTCTGAAAGATGCAGTGTTGTATCTGATATCTGTGTCAGTAAAATGTATTCTAAAAATGAAGTTACATAATTCGTTCCACCGATGCGTATGTGTGTTAGAGTAGTACTTAAAAAAGCGAGCAGATGGTGAATGTATTGGACATTTATATGGAAGTATTCCTACATAGTCTACTGTGTCCAATAAATTCTGGAATATTAGGTTGCACATCAGTAAATATAAAATTCCCATACTACAACTTGAGTATTTATAGTTTGAGACTTGTAAAAATTCATTGTTTCCACATGTGATTTCACCAAAAGGCATAGTTTACATAGTATTTGGACCGTGTGCTTCGAACAGATTTTGTTTCAAAAATGTGAAGCACTAAAGTAGCCTCTGCAAATGTAATGTGATCAAAATTTGAAACCAAAGTTCATATATAGGTAAAATTTGCGAAACACAAGAACTGTGAGTATAGTTTTCTTTGCGCAACACAATGTATTAATTCTAATCGAGGTGAAAGCAGGTTAACTGTACGTTGTGAAGTAGAGGAATTAACTGAGAGGTAATTAAGCATCTTATTATGATAAATTAGTGCAAATGATAGCTTAAGATGCAAGTTAAATATGGTCATTAAAGTTGTTAGTATTATTTATTTTCGAGGTTGTATCAAATCAATAAAACGGAACTCTATGAAAAGAATGATGAATATACCTGTAGTTCTTACCACTCCATAAAGGTTGCTTAGATAGCGGTTAGATTAAAAATAGTTGCCATCATAGTGCAGGTCGTTTACTCTGTAATTGGCGTTTTGAAGGCGTAGTCGCACTGCCAACGAGTAGGGGTGTAACGAGAGCAAGGTATTCTCATCGGAAAACTAGTAATCCAGCCTTCCTCTTCTGATGATGGGAAGTGTTACGAGGGGTCATCCCGAATTACCTCACGGTGGTCCGTAGCTGACAGTGAGCTCTTCGTATGGACACAACTCCAATAGGCTGCAAGCATTTGTCCCCTGGACTCACTGCTCCAGGGATTTCAAGGAAAATGGACAGCTGGGAAGTAACAGCCGCTGAAGCACTTACAAAACTCATGTTCTTCACAGACTGTTTGAGGATCTTGGTTTTATGTTTGATTAATTATTCATTACTTGATAAATAGCTTTTAGTTATTTCACTGAATCATGAGCAGTAGACATACCAGCCGGCAAGTCTGATATACATTTTATTGAAGTAACAAACTGAAAAACATCCATTCTGGCACTGATTATAGTATTCCTTAACAGGAAAATTTCGTATAGAAAACCACTATTATGACTTCTGTATTTAAAAATTAAGACACTAACATGTAAAATACAACAGATAACTTGACAATATTAGATAGCTGGAGGCAATCGGCAGGAATTCTTGGACATAGGTTTCGTGTTAGTTGGCACTCATCAGCAAGGCATATCTGCAACCTTGAAAGAACTCATGTCCCTTCTGAGATTCGAACCCGCGCCACCCAGTGCTGCAGTCAGAGACGTTACCATTGACCTCCTGTAGGACTGTAGTGGGTATCTAATATCATCAAATAAATGTGCGATGTGATGGTGAGCTACCTAAAATGGTGGCCACATTGCAAAACCAGACTGATAGAATTCAGTCTGCACTAAAGAAAGGACTAGACACGTCACACTAGTTACTATAGTTCGATCAAAACAACAGAAAAGTGTTAATTTGGAGGAGCGTGCATTTTCCATGCCTTTCTATGGTAAGAAGTTGATATACCACTATACGACTAGAGAACATAACATGTTTCTACGTCATTCAACGATACATGACTTTCAGTGAACTGGAATTCGGACACACTTATTCTAATGTATTTGGCTAACCCTAACAACATGTCTTATACAGTTGGCTCATAGGTGTTATGTTGCAGAATGTTTATACTATCGCATTATTCACAGTTACCTTTTTAAAACTAGTAGAAATATTTATGTCAGTAAAAACTAGGGCGTTTTTACAATTTTTGTAGTCAGATTATAACATGTATACGCTGACTTAAATTAACAGCTTCATTTCACTCGTGACAACATTGATGCGGTACGCTAACTATGAATATTTCTCGAAAAAACTGATTGAAGAGACAATAAAAAGAGAAATCGATTTCTAGTGGAATGCCCTCTTGACTGCACAATCAAAAACAACGTTAATTGTATTTTTCGTTTTTACTAATTGGAATTTATATACATACGCTCATATGAAATATTTGTTTTGAGAAGTATTAGAAAAAGGGAATAAATAGTTAAGGAAAAGATTACTTGATTATCAAGGCTAGATAGAATTGAAAGTTGAATCAAAGTATACAAGAGAAATGACAGTTTGTTTGACAAAAATTGTAAATCTATGCCCAAGACAGAGTAGTTTGTGTTAAATCAAGTACTTGTTTTAGTTTACCTTTTGCATCTGTAACATTTAGTACTATGCGTGGTGGAGATGATTGAGTTGGTTCAGTATTATCCTCATTATTATTTGACTTTTTCAATGACCAAGCTTCATCTTTAACACTTTTGTGACTAACACTGATATTGACATGACAACCAGGATGTAGATGACCTTGTTCATCAGCTAAAGCCAAAAGACTAATTATCCTACGTTCAATCTACATAGAAATAAATAAATAAATAAAATACAGTGATATTACATGAAAACGAAACATTCTGTGTTTATTTATTCTACATAGGTAATCAAGTTAAGTTTCAAATTCCAGTCGACTGGGGTGACTGTGGCATGTATTGTGCACGCTGAGTCATTGTCTTTCTGGAAATACTCTTTACTGCAACTTTCAGTGTTTCAGGTTTTGTTTTAAAGGGTACACATCCGCATGCGCATGTGCTCTTCCCTTGTGCTGTTAACACGCACATTCTCGGAGTCAGTAGTTCAGCCATATCAGCTAGATTAGTTCTAAATCCTTTTCCCTGAATAATCTCAACTTTTTATTTCATTCGAATATACTGCTCACTACTAAGGCACATTACTTACTGACTTGCGTTTGTTTTCAGTACTTACAAGTTAGATAGACTAACTGATTTTATTGGGTAATTAGGCAAACCAGAAATAATGGTATCCTTCGGCGTGACAACATTATATACCTCTATCGGCCAAAAACTAGCAAAAGAAACCATGGAGCAATTACTTAGCAACGACGAATACCTTCCACAACAATCAAAAATGCAACACACAAGCTGGATGGAATGCATAAACCTATGTCTAACAACATACTTCCAATTCAACGGCCAAATATATGAACAAGTCAAAGAAACGCCCATGGGATCGCCAATATCAGGTTTGATTGCAGAAGCAGTGATGCAAAGACTCAAAAACATAATTCTACCAAAGATCAAACCCAAGATTTGGATACGCTACGTCGACGACACATTTGTAATAATCAAAAGAAACGAGTTAGATAAAACTCACAACTTAATAAACAACGTCTTCAACGACATCAAATTCACAAGAGAAGAGGAATCCGAGAACAAAATACCATTTTTGGACGTCTTAGTTGAACGAACAACCGCAGGGGAATTAGAAACTCAGGTTTATAAGAAATCAGCTCACACAGACCAAATCCTGAATTACAACAGCAACAACCCAATAACACACAAAAGGAATTGCATGCAAACGCTATTCAAGAGAGCAAGGACTCATTGCAGCACTCCCACCTTAAGGAAAATTGAGGAAAAATATCTCATAGACGTCTTCCAAAAGAATGGATATCCACGGAATTTCATCAAAAGACATATACCCCCAAGTCAACCTATCAAACCAAGAGCCCCCAAGGAAAGCACAAAGAAAATCGCCTTATCATATATAAAGGATATCTCAGAAATCACTACAAGACTCTTCAAACCTTTAGGAATTGACGTCGTACACAAACCAACAAAGTCACCTCACTCAATTCTATGTCAACCAAAATACTCAACAGCGAAAGAAGATAAAACCAACATCATCTACAAAATAAACTGTAACAACTGTGAAAAACACTACATTGGCCAAAGTGGACGTCCCCTTCGTCTTCGTATCCACGAACATAAGCTAGCCGTCAAAAGACATGATATCCACTCCCTCATTTCACTACACACAGACAACCACGGACATCAATTCGACTGGGACAACGTTCAAATATTAGACAGAGGAAACAAAAAGAATGCTAGAGAATTTTTAGAAGCCCACCTGGCATTCCAGTGAATTATCAATCAATCGAGATAGACAAAATTTATCAACCGATAAGAAAGAAACTTCACACACAAAGTGTCAAACTTCAAGTGAAAGAAACAATCAACACCAATACCAATACAAGTAGCCTAAAAAGTGTGAAAACACACAACAACCAATCACGTCCAAGGTCACCAGGAGAGATGATTAATAAACTCGTGGAGAAATCTAAAAGCTCACTTCAAATTGAAGTATGCGCTGAAGATGTCACCCAGTAGGGTGATGAAAGCTTCGCAAATTAACCATCCAGCTGAGAGAACACAACCACATCAAAATTAAGCAATCTACGCGTAGTAAGGGCTGGTATAGTGTAGCTTATCAGCAGTACTCTCAGCACTTTACAGCACAATGCTAACTAGAGTTGACCGAGTGAAATTACTATACACGTACGCATGAGGTGTCTGAATCTGCGATTCACCACCTAGCTAATAAAAGATACAATGTCGGGTTGAAACTTTCCATATGTTAAGTGTGTGATTGGAGAATTTTAATAGTATGAATCATGATCATGTAAAATGACGGATATTTTCAGCCTTTATTATTTTCATTAATTTCAATAAAATTATTATTTCTCTCGCAGTCACGTTTTCTCTTTTATTATTATTATTGTTCCCTTGGGTTCCTAGTGGAACATAGGGCTTCAACTGCACGTCTCCACTTGCTTCTATCTTCAGCTGTACTTTTCACCTGCATCCATGTTAGTCCATACTGTTTCAACTCCTCTTCACACGATCTCCTCCATGTCACCCTTACACCAACGTCCCACTCGCCTCTTCCCTTCCGGGTTCCACTCGAGCAATGGTCTGACGCGCGATGTCACCCAGCAGCCTCCTCAGCGAGTGAGTATCCAATCTATCTCCCCTTTCTCCTGCATATTTGTTGGGCGATTGGTTCTTGTTTTGTTTGCTCCCATAGTTTCTTGTTGGTGATTCTTTCCGACCATCTGATTTTCAGTATAGAACCAGCGAAGACAGTTGTTGATGAAGGTCTGTAACCTGTTGGAAATATTCTTTGTGACCCGCCAGCGAGTGTCCAATCCATCTCCACGTTTTCTCTTTTACGCTGTGATTATTTAAATATTCCCTTTCGGTACTACGAACAACTTAAAATCAAACACTTTTCTATATTGATTTGTTAGTCAGTCTGACGAAATCATGTCATTAAAACAATTACACTGGCAAATCGTTTGAAAGTTTTATTGTACAACTTAAAAGAAGCCAGTGAATAAAGATTTAAAATTATATACACTTTCATGTATTCAAGGTATAAGGAAACTAGAAGAATTATGTCTGAATTAATTTCATTTAGATGTTGTCTGTGCAACTAGATCGTGTCAAACATGCCTCATCTATCATTAGGTTATTGTAATGCGGCGGTGAAGTGATACATACAGTGTGTTCCAACGGAATATTGTTCTCACAGTAAGAATAACTGTTTATGTTAGTGTTAACATCTGAATACTATTCCCACGGTTCAATAGTGCATTAGTAACAGAATATTATATATACATATATATGAACATTCTATTTCATATCATTTAATGTAAACCAAAATCAAAAGCTCAGAGATTGACTGAATATAAACTGTAAAGATATAAATAGCTGTTTGATCACTTGAAAATATACCTCGGCTTCCGTGTCTTGCCTTCTACTGTACTTCTACAAGTACTCTGTTCCATACTGCACTACTGCGTATTTTATAATCTAGCGAATATATATCATGGTAATGAAAACCATTTCATATGTTCAGCTGTGATTTAGTATTGATGTGAATAAAGCAAGAAAAGCAGTTTTTGCAGAATAAGATGGTATCTTCATTTCTTTCGTTGGCTGCTCATCAGCTGCTAGCAATCCAAAAGACATTACTAAGTATTTCTACAGTAACAATTTTATATGCTTGCACAGAGCTCATTTTTAAACAAAAAATCAATATATGCATACAATTCTAATAATAATAATGATCACTTTATCCCAGACAATAATAATCATACACAATGGCATCCATTTGGCATTACATGACGACGTTCAAGTATGTAAAATTGTTTTTGTAGATATAATTAATGTCTTTGGACTGTAAGCAGCTGATGAGAAGCCAGCTAGATAAATAATGGTACTATTTTATCCTGCAAAAAAACTGTTCTTGCTTAATTCAAATTCATTAAGGGGAATACATGCAAGAAGTGACTATTAATGCTCGGTCTGAGTTTTCTTTTACAGGCTGATAAATTTTGACACAGTTCCTTAACGAATAAATTACTAACCGAAAATTTAAAGTATCTTTTCAGGAGGGGAGTCTTATGAATCCAAATACTCTGAAAATTCCTCTCATATGTTAAAGAACCCATGATCACTAATAATTTAATAATCATAACTAGAATTTCATCAATTCCTAATGTTAAAACTACTTTGTATATAGTGTGGATAGGCTCTGAATATATGCTTTGATCTTTCACATTTCAATGCGATCGGTTCTGATGTGAAGGTAATCAACCGACATTTTAAGTGAAACTACGAAAGAATAATCATATAGAAATTCTAAACATAGAACAAGTTCTACCATAAGCGGTACAAGGGTTGCACTGTATATATTCATCAGCAGAAATTGGGCTGATTCCAGAGTATGCGTTTTCAGTAAGAGTTAAGACGGATTCCTATATACTACTCGTACAAGATTACAGGGAGTTTTCATAAATAGAAGTATCAATTTTAAAGAGGTCTGTCTCTGTCTAGATTCAACATAGAACTTGGCACCGAAGTGCAGCAGTTCGAGTTGCCACGACGTTCCAAATAGCACACAGAGGTTGACAAGAAGATGAGTGAAGAGAATCAATAGAGTTTGACAGGTATAGGAGCGAAACAGAATGGGTAATGGTAGAAAGAAATATGAAAGATTACAGAGACTGAATACATCTGCACTGGCCATTGACAACGATTTTGAGCCATGTCACCTTTTGTCTCCAGCCATTGATTCTTAGAGTCCCGAGGGCCCCGACCCGGAAGTGTGCATCTCCTTACCTGACTCAGTTTAACTGTCAAGGATTTCATGGATTGATGAGGCCATGTTTTTGTTCGGCCACCACTTACTCTTTTCCAACCTTCACCTATATCAGCTAGTAATGCCCGTCGGGGAGGCGATGGTTAGGCATGCGCAGCACGTCACCTAGCCATCTCAATCTATGTAACTTTATAGCCTCGTCGATTGATTTTCCCTCTTTGCCCAACGCTCTACGCCTTACGTCAACATTACTTACCTTATTATACCAACTAACGTGAGAAAGAGATCGCAGACATCTATGATCAAAAACAGTCAACCTTTCATGTCTTCAACGCGTATTGGCCATGTTTCAGAGCCATAGAGAAGGACGGAGCGAACTGGTTGATAGCCGGATGTCACGCCTACACCAGAGATGGTGTAAGCCAGCGAAAGCAGCGCGAGCTTTTTGGATCCGTTGGTGCTAATACAACTTCCAAAATAGGTGAAGTGGTCAACATGTTCTATCACTAAGCTAGGAGTTGATGTAGTCCAGTCCTGTAGCAGCATCTTACATTTTGCAGGGGCGAATCGCATGCCAAACATACGAAGATTGTTGCTCAAGGCGTTCAGAAGACTCTGCATTTTGTCAGCATCCTCCCCTAACAGGACTATGTCATCTGCATATTCTAAGTCCATACGACTATCCGCTGGTAACAAGTCGATTCCTAAGTCGCTACGTTCAGTTAAGGATACTTCCATTAGCATATCTATGATGAAGTTAAACAGGAATGGGGAGAGTGGACATCCCTGTCGGACACCACTGATTTTAAAGAGGATGTTCGATAGAGAAGACCATTAGCACTATGTTATGTTATCTTACTTCATAATTGATTGAACGTGCTCCATAATAAACGTCATATCCATCTACAATTAGATCAACAACTTCACGACTCCATGTTATTGTCAGTGAGTGTCTTTTCAGTGCCTAAAACGAAAAACACATGGTTTTGCATAAACAAGTTAAAAAGTTTAATAATAACAACATTGAGTGATGTGTTTATTCAATGAAATGTGAAATGCAAAAAAAAATAACAGCAACTTATTACAAGGCACTCGTGCCTACAAATTGTGAACGGAACCAAAAATATTGAAGGAACAGAATGTCGACACAGGTTAGTAAGCCTACTTATTATGAAAGTATTATACGAATATTCTAGAATCAGGAAAAACTAATACCTACGAGTGTAAAAATTTGGTGCCATATGCTACATAATGATGACCAAAGTTCGAGAAATTAAAATAATTATTTCGGTTTTTTTTCCTTCACGTCCCCCAGTGGAACATAGGGATTCAAGCTAGTGACTTGAAGTTTCTGTAGCAGTGTTTATTTTTACAGGATGGGGTTGCTAGCCTCATGTCCAACCTTTCCTCTTTACCAGAATTATTTCTGGCTTAGAGAGGTAAAGGAGTCCGTCGGCCGGGGATCGAACCCCGGACCATTTTCGTGGTCGACGAGGTACCATTAATGAAACGAAACTGAAATTGTACATTCAGAAAAGAATACTTTATTCCTCAATCTCTGGTGGGTATTTTGTTAGTTTATTGTAGTGTGAAATCTTTCTACATTCCAATATCATGTTCAACTTTCTTTCCTATCCCCAGAGTATTCGCTTAATACTCATATAAACAGGTCTACTAGAATATCTAATTTTATCGATTCAACTATCCGGCTATAAAATTGTATAAGGTGTCCATCGTTATTTCAAAACCAATTAAGTGAAACGTGCGAAATACTTTTTCTATACAATTTATTCTGTTCAATAATTTTTGTACAGCAAAAACAATAGACATTATGAAATGAGTTGGATTTATTTCATTTGTTGTGACCCACAAGTGCACGAAATTCAAAAATTATCTACAATAAGCTAATGTTACGTGTTATCTTGATGTGTAAGGAATTCATTAATTTCTATGACGGTTTTATCGCAAATCAATATTCGTTAAAGAAAGCAACAGTTTTGGAAAGCTGCTTCAGCCCAAATGTTTGATCTCTGGAAAAATCACGAGTGTACACGGTTGGGAAGTCCCAAATGGGAGACAAACATCAGTTCAGTAATCTTTGACTCATACTAATTTTTAAAATTATATGGGTCTATGATGAAACTGACATAAGAATGTCATAATTAAATGCAAGTAATATATATATATATATATATATAGTATTTCTAAAAAGAGTGATATTGTAGTCGGCAGTTTCCGTTTGAAGGAAGTACTTTATAAAGTAACTTTGTATTTTAGTTTTTATACGTGTATAATAAATTGCAGCAATCAATGAATTATCAACAGAGGTTACTTTTTTTTTATTTACAGCTTGATTCCACACTGTATTTTTGGTACAAGTATGGAATTTTCAGCATGGATATCGGCAGCCCAAATTTCGCAGGCCGACCATAGATATCAGGTGTGCGTCGGCGGGGGCTCGAACCTCGGACCATGTGCATGGTCGGCGAAAGTCCTAACCACTGTGCCACCGACGCACTTCCTTCACTTATCTGGGAAGCATCGTTTCAACTACAGGCGGAATGGATAAAGGTGTCAAAGCCAGAGAGAATCAGAAAGGCAAGATACGCCTTCATCAATCTAAAACCAGTTTGGAAACCTACACTCAACATAAGGAACAAGATTCGGATTTTAAACACCAATGTCAAGTCCCTCCTTCTATACGGGTCAGAAACTTGCACTGTGTGTCACGAAAAGCATTAATCGACAGCTGCCTTTGCTGGCTCCATAATGAAGATCAAATGGCCAGAAGGAATTACTAACAAGAAACTCTGCAGTAAAAGAAGCAAACAGACGAGATCTGATTGCTCAACAAATATGTCGGAGAAAATGGAGATGACTCGGGCATACGTTGAGGAAGCCATGGAATGACATTACGCACCAAGCCGTCGAGTGGAATCCAAATTCGATGCAACAAGTGGGTCATCCTAGGGTGAAATGGAGTAGATCGTGCGAAGATGAGGTGAGAGATTATGAGGAATCGTGGACCCAGCTGGAGAGGACGGTAGAAAATAGAAGAAAGTTCCACTCGGAACCCAAAGGAATAATAACATTATAATAATGATGAACTATGTGTGACCCTAGAGGCTAGGTGTACAACAATAAAGTAAGAAAAACGAAAGCAGAGGTTTCATTCCATCCAATAAGTCATTTTGTGTGCTATAGAATAGATCAAACTTTATTCGAAGTTCATATCATCAAGTCGAAAATTTAAGTAATATGCAATAATTCTTTATTACAATTTTTAGATATACAAAAGCATTTGGAAGTCATTTGGTGCATAGTGTGACTAGCAGTGGAATCTAGAATACCCATTTTGTCCTATTTGGGACTCGTCATCTGGATGTATCTGCATTTCCCAGTGAGTGATGCCGTTCCCACCGAGGCTTGAACCCGGTACTAACAGTTTAAAACGCCAAATTACAAACAGCATCATACAATTGAAAACGAAATCATAAATAAATTCCAAATAACTGTGACAAAGCGATTTAGAACTAGTCCAGTGGTATGCAAGCTCTGCTAGAAATTAAACCACAATTCGCTGACGACATAATTGAATTATACAAGAGTATTTTTTGCAGTTGTTCAGCTTACACATACACTATTGACTTAACTATAACACTTCTAAAAAAAAAGGAATTCTATACAGATGAAAAGATGAGCTGACAGTTTCACACCTACCTAATAAATTCGCACAAGTATGAATCAAATGTAGTCATAAGATTTATCAAGGGGAATAAAAAATAACCGAACTCAGGTGCTATGTGATTTAAATGAAACATAGACTGATTGATAAAAGTAATGAAGAAAAATGCAGTTAACGTCAACAATTTGGCATTCAAGTTCATTTTTTAACAAAAGACACATTAAAATGAATAAATTATAAAAAGATGACTATGTATAGAAAGAGTTCAGAAGTATCGAATTTTGCATAGATAATCTCTGGAAATCAACCGTCCTATGAAACTGATATTCACCACACTTCATAGAAGTTAAGTCAGCCTATTCTAAGAACACGACAAATGCATATAGAAATGTGAGTAATACTTGCTGTGTCGATTTTGACGATACTGCTGTCTGCATGCTGTGGACCTCTAGTATGATGCACAATCTAGTGTTTAAAAACTCATATTGTATCACTTGTCAAGAGAGATTTGAACGTATGACTAAGAAATTAAAGTAACTTGGGACCTACTTTACCAAAAATGACCAAATACAATCTATGTTAAATATTATGAACTCAATTACTGAACGATTTATGGAAAAGATTTGAACACAGTGAAAACAAAAACTACCCATTAAATAACTAACCTTTTCACTCCAGCTTTTTAAACTACGATTGACTAATTCTGTAAGTTCAGATGTTGAAAACGGTAGAAAATAAACCATCTCATTAATACGACCAAGGAATTCATCACGAAGAAAATGTCTCTGTATATAAATCATGAAAATACAAAGATTATGAAAAGAATATATATATATATATATATGCATTATACAGTTGAAAACGAAATCATTATTGCATTTCAAATAGCTGACGAAGCAATCTAGTACTATACAAGTACTACTGGAAATTAAACGCATTTTTCTAACGACATAAGATAGATTGCTAGGCTATTCAAATGCATAAGAATGAATGTGTTCAAAAGCTTAGTTTCCTGATGATCCTGTGTTTCTAATGGCATAGCAACATGCCTGACGCCATCAGTCGCTTTATGACGTAAGCAGTTATAAAACAGACTGTATACCTATTAACAATTAGTAAAAGACGACTGTTACACCAAAGATATACTTCAATTGAAATCATGAATTGTCAGTCAAGCAGTAAAAAATTCTTACAACACTAATTGATCAACATTTTATTGACCGTCTAAACCAGAAAATATGGTTATTACCTATTGTGTCGTTGTAATAGCATTGTTATTAAACTTAGCAGTTTATTGTCTAAATGTCAAAGTTTATTTTAAAAATAAATTTCACCGTTTCTTTCATTTGCTTGAATCGATTTATTTTCGTCTGTAATTACAAACTGGACTATCTAAACGAAGCAGTTTATGTCGTCTTCGTATTAGAACAGAGGCACAGACAGTATCTGTGACAATGTGAGGAAGAAAGCATGGAATAAAATAAAACTCAGCCACAGAAAATCTGTTGATGGTAGTTCCAGCCATAAGTTTACCTGGAACAACAAACTAATAGAAATCTAGTACTCAATGATTTTGAGAAATACAGCATACACTACTTGGAGATTTATGGTACATCTATTGGTAATTTATTGTTAGTAGTGTAAGTGCCAACTATTGCTAATATGACGGATATACTGGTGTAAAAGTGCGAAGTGGTGCATAAAAAGTGAAGAGACAAAAGATTCTCATTTCTCATGATGACAATTATTTAATATTTCAATTTTTGAGTTTGAATGGATTCTGACTAATTTCATAAATAAACGACATCAGTTAGAGAACCATTGAAAACCAAGGCCACTGTCGTGATAGTAGGGTCCCACCATATTTTACTGTGAGGAAGATATTCATCGACGATATTATTAAGTCATGGCACTACATCGCAAATCTCCATAAGTTAGATTTCACAGGACATTGAATTTTAACCCACTGGTTAATGGTCTCGAGATCTGAGCTAATTAAAACTCAGTTACTTGGGTAGCGGACTGTGAGCCACATTCAATGTGTGATGACTGATGATTCTACCCAGTCGCATAGGTGTAATAAGTGAAGCAGGATTCGAACCTTAGGCCTACTAGCTAGAAGCTGAATACTTAAGCCAATAGGCCGAATTTGAAGGTTTTAGGGTTGATCCCTGTAGGGGTTGTGAATACGTAATGTTCAACAGTTATCAACTATGATGAAACAGCTATTCGGTACTCTGTAGTTTTAAATGATTCTTTATATGTCAGTTCGTTATGAAATCTACAGTGAAATTATCTAACAAATATTCCAGGGTAAACCAAATTAGCTTTAAGCCAATAACTTAATCCAGTGCTGAGTGTATTACTCTATACAGTAAACTTTCATGCTTTATAAATTTGTAAAATGCTAATTTATTTATCGATTTTAAAATCAGCTGATCTAAACTTGACTTCATATTTTCATCATTCATCATATCAAGTGCTCTGTATTCAATAACTATATGCATTCTTAATAAAATAATTAAGGAAATATTATTAACGTTGGAAATGCAACTTTAAAAAACATCTTTATTATGTGAATTGCCTGTTATTTGGTGAAATTGTTACTTGTATTTACCCTTAATTGATTTTATTGGTGCAAATACTCCTAGTTTTGAAGAGAGACAGTGAATTGATTGAACGAGTCAACCACTTTACCTACTTGAGAAGTTACATCAGTCGCACTAGCTGTGAGACGTGCATGTTGAAAATGGCAAACATGAAGAGACTAACTCTCCTTGACTGAAAATATATGCATTGTATTAAGTGGTATAACATAGTGAGTAATATAAATAGAGAAACTGAATCGAGGGAGATGGCTATGACACGTGTTAAGCATACCAAGCCATCGCGTTTCTAACCAAGCAGTGTTAGCTGACATAAGATTATGTTGTAAATTGTTTAAATATAATCAAATTAAAACATAGCATTAATCTATGAAGTCTTTAGCTATTGGATTAAAGTTTAAACTGTTTCGAGACGCCAAGAACCAATGGCTTGAGACTATTGGTGATAAGTCTGAAGATCGTCTTCGATGCATTCACTCTTTGTAATCTCGTGGATCCATTATTCTCCACATATTCATTCTTTCTCCAGTTGATTTCTGCTCATTATGATGCTTTTGAATCCCTTTTTTACTACTTTTGTATGCAACGTGGAGTGTGTCAACTTTTATTGTTGCATTTTTTTTGTCAAAGTTCTACGTTAACAACTAAGTCAGTCAGCAGTTTGATTGTCCGCTTCTAGTACGAACTCTTCAACTATGCTTTAAGTTTAACATGATGTTATTTGCCTGATAGTGGTGGTGATCGGTGAAATCCAGGACACGCATTTCGCTTAGTTCGTGAATCAAGAAAAGGAAAGAACATGCATCCTGGATTCTGTTGATAACTAAACGATATCATAGAAGTGTGCGCCTTACAGGTGAACAAAACAAACACAATAGAAACTTGGTGATATAATTTAAGGGGATAAATGTTAGGTTGAAAATATCAATTTATGAACTTGTATCTGTAAAAGGTATACGAGAATAGCTAATTAATTTTGATTTGACAGTAGTAACTAGTGTGATGCGCCTAGTCCTCTAATTGGTGTAGACTGAATTCTATCAGACGAGTGCCAACTAGCCCGAAACCTAGGTCCAAGGCTTCCTGCCGATTGCCTCCAACCATCTAATAGCTAATTAATTACCAAAAAGAGTGAAAATCTCTATCACTCTGATAATTACATGCAAAATAATAACCAAAATGTGTATTAACCAATGTTTCAGATAGAGAAAACAAACAAAAGGTTGCGTATATACATACCACATAAAAGGAAAAGCTTTTAATCAAACACACCTATTCATTTGTTTATTAACAACAACAAAAAATGACGCCAACATTGATAGTGGTAGCTTTTCCTACGGGAAGACTTTAAATCATTGATTCACCCCGAGATGATGTTTTCTAATGATACATGAATTCATTCAATTGTGTCCCTTTTTAGTAATAACTTCGTATTCCATTAACTTTCCATTAAAAAAAATTAAAAACTGTGTATACGACTACAAACACAATGGAATTCGTATATCCAATTTAGTAACGTGGCTCATCTCACTTTAAATTAATGAGTTTCAGTTTCGAATCTAGCTCCAACAACTTCGGCCGGTGGAACTATCAGGTCTCATTGTCAATAAATATGCCTCAATGCTTGTTACGTTGTTGTCTAGAACGGATTGACTGACTGGTTTCAACATAGAACTATCCACAGATTGGCAGCAGTTCGATTTGCCACACTCCCCTCCACGTAGCACACAATACAAGAGAAGAGAGTAAAGAGAGATAATAAACGGAAATACATGCAATCAGAATAGTAATGTGGAAGAACAGTAGAGTTTTGTTGGATGTTGTGAGTCACGAGGAGTGGAGGCATCTGTGCTAGCCATTGAGAACGATTTTGAGCCACCCATATCACTAACGGTCTCCAGCCATTGATTTTTACCATCCAGAGAACCCCAACAAGCCAGCCAGTTTACACCTCCCTACGTGACTGGCTTAAACTAACTGTTGTGGATTCCATTGACTGATGATCCCATGTTTTAGTTTGACCACCACCAGCTATTTTTCAACCTGATTCATTTCATGTCAGCTAACATTGCCTATAGTCGAGGAAAGCGACGGCTAGAAATGCGTAACACATGTTGTCAATGTAGTCGAAGAATGAACGATCAGTTCACGGTTGTTTGCTCAAACCCAACTTCACATTTTGGCGGGAGTCACCGATACTGCAGTCATCGTTCCACCGTTCGCTGTTCGTTAGAAGACGGAGAAATACTTTCAGAAGTATTATTATGATTTATTGTTGACATTTATTCTTAGACTTTGTGTACAATAACCTCATGTTTGGTGGCACAGCGGTTATGACGCTCGCGGATCATGCACATGGTCCGGGGTTCGATCCCCTGTCGATGCACACTTGATATCTATGGTCGGCCTGCAGAATTTGGGCTACCGATATCACAGGCTGAAAATTCTATATCTGTACCAAAAATAAGGTGTGGAATCAAGCTGTTAACAAAAATCAAAAAACCAAATCTATATTGGTGCAAGAATGAAGGATTCTTGAGTCACCAATCTGTGTTCTGGTTTTTCGCGTTGGTTATTGCACATAGTTGCTGAAAGTTTTTTAAGGGAATTGTGAAGTCCAGTGTAGTTAGACCTGGATATTGACACATGTCTAAAACAGTTAAAGGTACATTAGTGAACAAAAGCGAGTTCTTTATAAGCGAAAAGAAAATGGAGTATGCTAAATAAAGCAGAGAATTGAAATAATTGACTTACTCTTAAAATTGGACGCATAACTTTTTCTTTAAAATCTCGAGAAATTTCAATATCAGCTTCTAAATTAAAAGAAAGAAAAACAAACAATACTAGTGCGAGAAAACTGTGAATAAAAATCTTACAGATAAAAAAGAAGTGTATTCATACATAGATGTAAAGGTGATCATTGAGAAAGAAGACATTTATTTGTGATTGCACACTAGTCATTAACTAGTGTAATGTGTTCAGTCGTATCTTCACTGCAGACTGAATTCTATCAGTCAAGCTTGCAATGTGGCTACCATGCTAGGTGGCTCGCCATTACGGTGCACTGTGAATTATTAGTATTTAATGGTTGGAGGCAATCGGCATGAAGCCTCAGACCTAGGTTTCGTGATAGTTGGCACTCATCGGCAAGGCGTACCTGCAACCTTGAAGGAACTCATGTCCCTTATGAGATTCGAACCCGCGTCACTCAGTGCTGCAGTGAAGATAGGACTAGACACATTACACGAGTTACTGACTAGTGTGCAATCAAAAATATCCAATACAGTCCTACAGGAGGTCAATCGCGAGACTGAATAGCTCAGTGGTAACGTCTCTGACTGCAGCTGACGAGTGCCAACTAGCACGAAACCTAGGTCTAAGGCTTCCTGCCAATTGCCTCCAACCATCACATACGAAGAAGGTAATTAATTTGGCAATTTATACTGTTTTAGAATTTACTTCATTAGGTATATAATGAACCTGTAACTCTGACTTAAGATTTCTGTTATTCCTTGCAAAATTAATATATCCACTCTATTACGAACAAAAGGTAATACACAGAAGTAAAACAGTAAAAGAGAATTAAAAATTAAACAATTAACTAATATCCAATCGCTTAAATAAAATCATACTATATTTGAGGTAAATAAATATGATTAACTGTTTATGTGTATAAGCATGATTCAGTCTACTTGTAGGTGTATCACCTTCATATCGATCGGCTACTTTAGACTATGAACAAGAAGACTCTAGAAGATTTAGACTTCCCGTGGACGAAAATCATCCAGCCAGCTAAAGAGGATTGCAGAGAATAAGATGAAGTTGAAACGTGCTGTTGAAGCTCTATGTTCCATTCGGAACTTAAGGGAATACCAATAATAAAATTTGACACCTGCATCTGGTTACGTATAGTTCACCAGTGAATATGCCGAAAAAAAAATTCCAGTGAACACAGCTGAGATTAAAATGTTGTTGAAGTGATAAGTGGCTGTTTACGCTGCTTTAATTAATGTTAGCTATGATAGGTCTCAATTAATGTAATGGTCGTTGATAATTGTAATATATGCGTCAAACTTAGACACTGTAGTAGTATGATTCCATAATGGTTTGTTCGTTATATAGACCACACAATGAAATGGTATTTTTAACTGACGGACATTTCGAATACAACTTATTATTCATAATCTTATCAACTAAAACTCTACTACTTCGATAAAAGCTAATTTTCCAATTTGTTTAGCAACATTTGACAGGATTATGAATAATATCTTGTTTACGAAACACCTATCGGGCAAAAGTTCGACACAGATTAAGCCAGTAAAGGATGACAATCGAAAGACAATCACCAAAGAATTAGAGCAAAGAAAACACTGGACTGAACACTTCAAAAGACTTCTAAATCGACCGCCACCTACAACGCGACCAACAATACCAACAACGGAAGCAGATCTACCACTGAACATCGACGCCCCGACGAAATCAGAAGTCATGAATGCAATCAAGATGCTAAAAGCTGGAAAAGCAGCAGGACCAGATGGAATCCCAGCAGAAGCATTGAAAATGGATCCAGAGATAACAGCGGACTTGATGACACCACTACTGGAGGTGTGGAAGGAGGGCAAAGTACCTGAGGACTGGAAGAAAGGATACTTATTCAAACTACCAAAGAAAGGAGACTTAAGTCAATGCAAACACTGGCGCGGAATTATGCTCCTGTCCATCCCAAGCAAAATACTAAGCCGCATCATCCTGGAGAGAATCAAACACGCCAACCTGAATGAAAAACTTCGACCGGAACAAGCTGGATTCAGGAGAAACAAGTCATGTATTGATCAAATCGCCACTTATACATCTCATCCAACAGTTATACGACAATGCTGCATGCCAAGTAATCCACAACGGGAAACTTACGGAAGCCTTCGAAGTGAGGATGGGAGTGAGGCAAGCTGGCTGTCTACAATCGCCAATCATCTTCCTGATTGCAGTAGATTGGATAACGCGACAGACAACGGGATATGAGGAAACAGGCATAAAATGGACTCACACAAAAACAGATTTGGAGGATCTGGACTTCGCCGATGATATATGTCTGATTTCCCACAAACTGGAAGATATGCAAGTGAAAAGCAACAAGTTGGCAGAAGATGCATCCAGAGAAGATAGGACTTCAGGTGAACATAGATAAAACAGAGGTGATGAAGATTTCTGGCCAACACCAACAGCCACAGCAGCAACAACAGACAACAATAAGCCAGAATAAATGGGAGGAACCTGAAAGAAACAACCTCCTTTACCTAACCACCTATCTGGGAAGCATCTTTTCAACTACAGGCGGACGGAACTGACGGGGATATCAAAGTCAGAATCGGAAAAGCAAGACAAGCTTTCATTACTCTCAAGTCTGTGTGGAGGTCAACAGCACTCACCATCAAAAATAAGATCCGGATTTTCAACTCCAATGTGAAGTCAGTGCTACTCACTACACGGATCAGAGACTTGCACTGCGCGTTATAAAGAGCATCTCAAACAAACTACAGACCTTCATCAACAGTTGTCTTCGCTCAAGATCAGATGGTCGGCCAGAAAAGATCAGAAACAGGGATCTCTGGCAATCAGCGAACCAACTAGGTACCGATTGTGCAACAACTAGGCAGGAAGAAATGGAGATGGATTGGCCATACTCTGAAGAAAAAATCAAATGACATCACTAGACAAGCCGTGGTTCGAGTGGAACCCGACAGGGAAGCGGTGAGTTGGTCGTCAATGCAAGGGTGACTTGGAGGAGGTCATGTGAAGAGGAGATGAAAGCATGTGGGCAGACTTGGAGCGGGGTGAAAAAGTCGGCAGAAAACAGAAGGTAATGGAGACTCGCAGCTGAAGGCCTATGTCCTCTAGGAATTAAAGGACATAATAATAATACGAAACATTGTCCAGTAAATACTGTTCAACTATGTGATCTATACAGTAAAAAATTTAATATGATAACAACTGAAGTTTAAAAGGAAATGTAAACTGCAACTTGACCCAAAACATTGTCATATATTGGATTTCTTTGATAGGCCAATTGCCATTGAGGCCCATGTTGGCAGATTTCTGTCTAAACAAACTAGTGAATGGTGCTTTGAACAACTTTATCAGAAAATTCTCATTTTATTGCCACTATATGGATGATACTTTCATTCTTTGTGAAAATGATTCGGAAAGGAACACAATAATAACTCAATTCAATGAAGTACACTCGACTATCAATTTCACGTGAGAAGAGGAATCCCAAAATAAATATTGCCTTCCTATATGTCCTTCTTACAAAGAAATCAGATGGTAGTATAAACAGAAATTTGCATAGGAAAAGTAAATGGATAGGACAATATACATATATTCATACCTTTGTTCCTCTCCAGTACGAAAGGAACTAAATTAGGACAGTTTGGCTACAGGGTCAGACCTATTTGCTCAGAAGATGCGATTGAAGATGAAGTGTATATGAAACTTTTATTGGAAATATTTTCATTCCTTTACGTTCCCAGTGGAACATAGGGCTTCAAGCTAGAGGCTTGAGGTTTCTGTAGCAGTGGTGATTAATTTTACAGAATTTGGTTGCATTGAAGAATCCTTCTACATCATCTATCCGGCACCAAATAAATTACCAAAAGCATCCAGGTAGTAAATACTCCAGATAGCAGGGGATATTACGATTCGCCTAAAATAACCGGTGCTTTGTGTTAAAAAAAACAGGTTTAGTCACTACTACTGCCCTGGCCTTCTCTAGAGCTTAATTTGTTTGATATTCCGTGTAGTGTTATATTGATGTATATTGTCACGCTTTTGAACTTTATTCTATTGATATTATTGATTCAATGTTATTTAAACATTAATAACCCTAATTCTTTCATTATTGTGGTTGTATAACTGTAGAACCTGATGAGTAAGTCATTGAAAAGAATATTCTTTGTTCAATATTCAGTCCTTTGAAATTTCTAATGGGCACTTTTGATTAGTGTAAATTTTATTTTCTTAATTTCATCTTCGTAGTCTTCTACAGCCATGCTAAAGGTCCTTGATCAATTACTGACCGACAGCATTTTTAAACCTCACCAACCTACTAGTAAGGCCAGAAAAGGGGAAGATTGAATATGAGGCTAGCCACCCCTCCCTGTAAGAAACAACATTACCGCCAATGCAAATCCAATGCTTGATGCCCTGAGTTCCCCTCAGAAAGCAATGAATGAGAAATTCTTCCACAGACACCAGAAGCTCTACCTACGAAAACCACTGTTCAAAGAGAAAGCTGAACAACTTGTAGTCTCTTAAGAGACTTACATTGAGATGCATGGCAACTAGACTCTGTAAAAAACATCACAATGATATAACATGAGATTATAATCTGCCTCTGTGCTGAATTTCTGTTGTCAACTCTTAATTAGAGACACCTCAAATAGCTTGCAAAGAGGAAAAAGGAAATAACTCTTATGGTTATCATACCTGTAGATCATATTCTCCTGCCCATATTATTGGGCACAAAGATAAATGTATCGATCTTCTTCTTCTTCTGATAATAATACAGCAAAAACTTTAAAAACACTGGTCAATAACAATAACAACTAACCATCATTCCCAGAACTATGACGTAAAGCTTGTGCATGTTCAGCTATAACTTGACTTCCGACATTTGACGTCATAATGAATATAGCATCTTTACAGTTAATTGTCGAACCACGGCCATCAGTTAGACGCCCCTTTAAGAAACACAGAACAAAATCCAATGAAACTTCAGGTATACACTAGTGGAAGCATTATTTTAATTGGCAATACAATACCTTCATCAGAATTCATTTACACTCCTAATCAATCTTTTATTTCTCAATGAAAATTTGAGAAAACGTTTATTATGCAAAATAAACTAGGCACTGTTGATGGTTTATTTTCAAAACGTTTAAGTCAGAATTTATTAGTAGGGATATAAATGTTTTTTTAGAAATAAACCCTTGAGTCATAAGGTTACCTAACATTGGTATTATACGTCAGACTTAAAAACCATTTATGTATAAGTCTACGAGCAGATATTTTTACCATAAAACCCCTATGTCTGACAACTTTTAAACCGAAGTTACAGGATTATGATGGCTAGACAAATATTTATCAGCTTGGGCAGAGGGATGACAAACATTGCTGCAGAATAACATGCATCCATTTTATTTCGTTGGTTCTCATCAGCCGCGTACAAACTACAATCTTTAATAAAATAAGTCAGTATACAATTTTAACATACTCTTTGTCTACCAACAGACATACTGTAAGAGCTTCGTAGTGGAATAAAATACCAGGTTGATGACGTATCTGAAGTGTTACAGTATATATATATATCATATTAGAGAGAAGTTTATCGAAAAACTTCGCGAAAATAAATTACCGTTGTGTTTTTCTATAGTTTGGTTTGTAAGGATTAGTTATGTTTTTACGAGTTGATCACGGATTGATATCAGTTAGAGAACCATTGAAAACCAGGGAGTACTGGACAGCTGCTGTTTCATCCTAGTTTAGGAACCATAGGAAGTACACACCCACCACTGGCGGTTCGAACCCAGGACCTTCCGGTTACAAGGGAAGCTCGTATACCATTCAGTCACTGGGACCTGATTCAATGGCTCATGAATTCTAACTTCTACCAATTCGTGATTTAGCGCGACCCCAACCATTGTCGTAGGCGACTCATTTTTTTAGTAACTCTTCGTTTTCTAATCACATTAACTTATCTTTTCACCTCCTCTTTTTTCCGTTCGACTTCAATAAGAGATTATTTTTTCTCGACGTTGTGGGTTCTACTCACTAAACTACATCATCGTTTTTTTCATTTGACCTTCTGCACACCAAATTTTGACAATCTTTTGTGTAACTACGTAATTATTACTATATTTTATTACCATTCTAGTTACACATTTGTCAATTGATTTTCTGCGAAACTCCACTCTAACAAGATATATGTATATACACACTGTAATACTCCAGATACCTCACAACCCTGGTATTTATTTCACTAAGACGCTGTTACAATATGTCTGTTGATAGACAAAGAGTATGTTAAAACTGTACACTGACTCATTTTATTAACGATTGTAGCTTGTACGCGGCTGATGAGAACCAACTAAATAAAATAGATGCATGTTATTCTGCACCAATTTTTGTTGTTTCTCCATTTAAATTTATAAAAGGGAATTGTTGTATGAGATATTTATCACGTATGAATCTCAATTAGAATGAAAGAGAAAACATTTGTCCGGAGTACGTCGGTAGTACAATGACAGATTTCCCACCAGCGATACAGGAAATGTAGGTTCGATTCTAGACCGATGCACTCTAAAAACCTTGTCTAGCTGACAGTAATTCCGGCAAAGAGGGAAGGTTAAGCGTAAGGATAGCAAGCCCAACTTGTAAGAACAACCTCACCTGTCGTAAAACTTTGAAGGTTGAAGCGAAAAATTGCCATAGGAAGGCAAAAGATGAAAAAAGTAAATCAAGAGTGTCTGTATGACAGGTGAAATTATTAAATAGCCTGAACGAATTCACTGATCTACGACTGCAATGTTACCGTAAACAAGGATATAATCTGGACAGTAAACAACTACTATAATTACGACCAATGAATCCTTCAAAAAGTAAATAGTATCACGATATATTAAAGCTTTACAGAGAAAGATTTCGATGAATATCACTTAGAATATCGTATTTTGCTCAGCTATAAATGGTCCTTCAAAATATCAGTTATAAGCCTTGGATAACCATCTTGATTCAATCAGAAAAGTGTAAGAAAAACTTCAACGTTTCCAGACATTCACATACTAAAATCATTCCTACGTCTGGCATAGTCATTACTGTTGTCATCCTTTCGAAGGACAGTTATTCAAAATATGTTTATGGGCAAATTTTCAAGGAATAGAATAGAGATTAGACACATTCGTCAAAAACAGTAAATAAACTTTTAAAACGATAAGCCTCAGCTTGGAATATTCCTATCCTATCACCTTCTTTACTTAGTCAATATTGTTTCATCAGATGTTACATGTCACAAATATATCTACGCGTATATACTTGTACCAAGTAGGCAACCTCAATTAACAGACTGATTTGATTCATGAATTAGATACGAGAACAGTCAACAAGTTAATCTATGCAATGATTTTCTTTGGCAAATAACACAACAATAAAGCGAGAACTAACCATCCCTGAGAAGTAATAACAAGCGAAATATCATTAGTTGAATAAAATAAAAGAACTTTTAAGTGATAAACACATGACTTAAGTAGAGTGAGTACATTCATCACATGAGTAAAGTAAAGAATTTTTATTAGATTAAGTACAATATTATAGTACATCCTGGTTTACACAAACCCATTTCTACAACAGCTTAAAATAACAGAGAACAGTACTAACTTAATATGATGGTTTTCATATTAGGCTTCGTTTGTAACGTTCTAAAACTTTAAAACATATTCATCCTCACATTGTAAAAATACTACTACATTATCCACTTATAATTTTGAAGGATTTTAGGGTGTCCAACTTCTGACCCGTATCAACAAGAAACCTAGTAATAAGAATATTGACAACCTCTTATCCCTTGAATTATACACTTTTTGAAATATGTTCAAAGAATCGAAGTTGTGCCCTTCATTCCGTCCTCCCAATGTTACTGCTACAACAAATACATATAAATTTGTATACACAATTTGTTTAAATATGAACCTGCTGGGTATAAATTATATTATAGTAATTTTTGAACCCTGTTTATCATATTTAAAGCATATCTTGTTAGCTGACATCATATCACCTTTGAAAGTACATTAAAATTTCTATGTACGTATACTCAATTAAATTGTCTAGGTTTTGCACAACCGATGAGTAGCCAACGAAATAAATGATATTGCCATCTTATCCTGCATAAACTATTGTTATTGCTTCATTTAAATAAAATGAATGACTGACTAGTAACAACTATAGAACTTTACACAAAAGTAAAGCATTTCGAGTCGCCACACTCCATGTAGCACACAAAGGAAGACAAAAGAGAGGGAAAAAAATACATTCAAAAGAACAGTAACAAGCAGAAATATGGAGGAGAAAGAATAGTAACATGGAAAACCAATATAGTTTAATTGGATATAGCAGATCACAGAGAGTGGATGTATCCTCGCCAATGAGAACAATTTTGGGCCATGTCTATCAACTATCTCCAGTCACTGCTTCTTAGCTGAAGCGTGGCTATGGTCAGTTTAAATTGTCCCTCAAAATATTCCTTCCAGAGTTCCAGTCGTTTATCCTGAGAGCTAATTACGGCGGCATTGTTCAAATGGATAAGCTTCAGGGAAATCACTTACAAAACCACTGTCATAATTTTATAATATACATCAGAACTAATGAATATGTTGGACCGTTAATTTACATCATTAATAACATGTAAAAAATTTTAAAGCGATTGAATATAGAAGCACAAGCAACGACCGTCTACCAAAATGAAGAGTGTTTAGTCTTCCTGTTCGCTCCCCTCCCCATATCACGCGAAATTGTGCATTGGTTTCCACTGTATTTGCCAGGTTTCTGTTTACATTATCCATCTCAGTGTCACTTGACATTCAACGTCTAGCTAACTTCCTATACTCAGACAATTAAGCTGTATATTTCTAAATTTTCGTTAAGAAAAATAGATGATGTAGTCCCTCAAGGTGAAGACGCTGATAAAATGCAGAGTCTTCTGAACACCTTAAACAGCAATCTGAGAATGTTTGTCATGCGATTTGCTCCCGTCAAGTGTAAGATGAAGCTACAGTACTGGAATAAATCGACTATTCCTACCTGAAAGGTAGAGAGTGAAGCAGTAGGGCGTGTTGGCCTCTTCACTTATTTGGGGATCAGCAACAGTCAACGCCAGCGGATTGATCGCTGAAAAAATCTCAGCATGGATATAGAAGACTCGTTCCGCAAATGCTAGCTTACGCTGTCCCTGGTGTAGACGTGATATTCATGGAGGAGAGTTTGAAAACTCGAACTGCTGTCAATCTATGTAGAGTTCTGCGTTGAAACCTGCCAGTCAGTCAATTTTTCACAAGAATATATACTCTTATGGGAGAATGAGTGTAAGTGATTTCGTTGCTAACTTATCCTTGAGTTTGTTCAAATGTTTTCTCAGATATTAAAACTGAACGCCTTACGTGGTTTTTTACAATGTTTAAAAGAGTCTGTGCGTGAACTCCTAATCCTTGTTAAGATCTTTCCTACTTCCGTTACACTCACTAAGACTAGTCCTATTCACAAGATTCATTTGATCTAAAGTTCCACTAGTTTCTTATATTACCGTGTCACAATGTCCTTTAAGGTGCATCTAACATGGTATTACTCACCACTACAATATTCAACTTCATCTCATGAATTTTCAAACCACATTTAACTTCACCTGTGATTGTATTACTCACATCACGATTTAAAAAATTATAGAGTTTATAAATTAAAACTAGCTAACTCCTAATGTGTAACATAAATATGAAGAGGTAGGTTAAATTGGATAGTGTGCATACGCATTGTATAGACAAAGTTTTATTTTATAAATTAAAGTGCATATTGAAAAGGCTTAAAAACATGTTTGACAAAATGGCCATCCTACATTATGGTATATACGTGCATGCGAAAAAAAAGGTGTTATACGTAAATTAAATGTAATTTTTATATTTAAATACTATAGTACGTATATTAAAACCTTATCGACAATATAGTCAAGAATGAATCAAAGTGAATAAGTCGAACGAAATGAATATTTATTTCACTAAATATTTGTGAGAACTATTTACATTAAATAGACAAATAACTAATTTTAACCACAATGGTTAAGTGTATAAAATAATGAATAACGGTGGGATAGTGAAAGTAAAATCTGCTTTTTTTCTTATTTGAAAAAACTCGGTCAAGTAGGATATGGCGTTTGATAATCATGAAGATTGTTGTAGGACTCTATATTTAAATCAGTCTAAATGAAGTCCTGTTTGATATCTACAATTGGCATTCGTATGTGATCATAACGAACTCATATGTCCTCTAAAAGTGTTATTGCCTTCATTGAATTGTATGCAAGACAGAAAAGAACATCACAATTTGGCACAAACTATTAAAAAAAATATTTGATTGCTACACGGAGCTATTCTCCTTGATAAGCTTAAATGTGGTATACCACTAGGGTCACAGAATTGTCTATCGAATTGACTGATATGGTGTGATTAACAACAACATGAACAAGATATACAAAATAAAGTTAGTATAATATATATACAGAAAGACCGACAGTCGTAGCCAAAAATAACACAAAACAAGTGAATTTAATGTGTTATTTTTTTATTATTAAGACATGTGTGTCTATATGCGTGTGTGCATAGAATGAAACTTTGAAAGAATAGTACTACATTGTATCTATCTGTCTATCTCACTTTATAGGCAATAAAATAATCAAAATTTATTAATTCTATGTGGATTTTCGGCTTTTTTTTCCTTCACGTTCCCCAGTGGAACATAGGGCTTCAATCCAGTGGCTTGAAGTTACCGTAGCAATGTTTATTTTTACAGGATGGGGTTGCTAGCCCAACCATTCCTCTTTACCAGAATTATTTCTGGCTTAGCGAGGTAACAGAATGTGTCGGCTGGGGATCGAACCCCGGACCATGTGCATGGTCGGAGAGCGTCCTAACCGGTGTGCCGTCGACGCCTTAGCCCTATGTAAAACATGATATACTTTCTATAAAAGCTAACTACTATTTTGTTTATACTTTAATCACCATTACAGATTACAAGGAACAACCTCATATGAACTGTGATCAGGATTTGACCTGATAGTTGCAAAATAATTGAGCACCGAGTGAGAAGTAGACATTTATGAAATTATATTTGTAAAATCTCAGCGAAATTGAAATGATTAATTTCAACGTTTCATTCGGGAATCACCAATATCCCCTGTTGTAGCATATATATTCATGGATAGGTGGGAAAGCATAGCGTCTGAAACGTTCACCTCCACCCCAAAAGTATGGTGGAGGTATGTAAATGACACATTCACTTTACTCAGAACACAAGATATAGATAGATTTTTCGAACACATCAACTCGAAGGTAGAGGCAATTCAATTCACTTATGAATTGGAAAGTCAGGAAGGGGAGCTTCCAATATTAGATCGTAGCGCAAAAGGGAAGGAAGATGGGAAGTTAAACACTAGTGTTCACAGAAAACCCACACATTCAAACAGGTACTTGGACTTCAGATCATCCCATCCTATGTCAGTAAAAATAGGATTGGTAAAATGTTTAACTGACAGAGCACAAAAACTAAGTAGTACTAAGGAAAATCTGACACAAGAAATGATACACATAAAAGAAGCCTTGAGACTTAATAATTATCCGGATAAATTAGTCAAGAAATATATAAGGAAATCTAAAAATAAAATAAATAATGATAGTAGCGATAGTGATAATAATAATAACACTAATAATAATAGTGATGATAATAATATTAATGACGACACCAACAATAAAGAATCGAAATCATCAACAGTAATTCCGTACAAGGAAGGAACCTCGGAAACCTCACTCAGAATTCTTAACAAGGCAGGAATGAAAATGGCTAGCATTGAAACCCACAAATTCAGTTAGAAACAAGTTTTGTCAGCTAAAGGATCCGGTAGAGCCAATTAAACAAACCAGTTTATTTTATCTAATATACACTCACTGTCTGAAATGATTGTCAGGTCAAACACAAAAGTGAAAATAGTAGAATGGTGTCAGTCAGACTAGCGGAGCATAAAAACCTAGCGAAATCTAGATTAGTTGAACCGAATAATATCAGATATCTAGAGAATAGTTCAGCCATAGCACTCACTGCATGCAATTACACAAACATACAATAGGATGGAATAAGATGACAGTTTTCAAATCTAATGTAATAGCAGGGTGGATGGAGAGATTGATAACGGAAGCTTTGTTTATCGAATGAAACTGGAAATACGTGTAGTAGAAATGACTTAATACCTGTCCACCCAGACATCTGGAAAATTCTACTACCCCAATGACGACAAATAGATGAGAACAAAGAAAACTACAAAACTCTAGTTTCGAAGTCGTGTGATCATAATTGGTATGATTATGAACAATAAATTTTGTTTGAAATGTCATCCTCCAGTAAATAATACTGTTTTACTGTGTGATATATCTAATAAACAAACTAATATGGAATTACTTACTACCGCAGTGCCCAAGTTCTACACATATATTTCTATAGTTTTGTTTGTAAGGGTTAGTGAGAGTGCGTACTTCCGATGATTCCCAAACTAAGATGAAACAGTTGTGCAGTACTCCCTGGTTTTCAATGGTTCTCTAACTTATATCATTCCATGATCAACTTGTAAAAACATAACTAACCCTTACAAACCAAACTATAGATAATTTCCTCTTGTTTGAATAATGCCATTGTGATGTTTACTTTGGGTTAAAAAACAGACATTTTAGACACAGTCTTAATCTTACTTGATTGCACTTGATATTGGTATGAAAAGTCACAGATGAAAAGGGAGTTTCTTCATTCAAAGGTTAACATAAGTTTGGTTCAGTATTTCAGCAATTGTTATACTATATTGAAGATAACACAAAGTATTATCTTTATACATACTGCTGAATAGTTCTATACAATATCAGTGTGATTATGATCTAGTTCAACATACCTTAGATCCAGACAATTAGATTACAGAAACTACAATAAAGGCATGAATATCATATTGAAATGCCCGACAATCCCTCAAGACAATAAAAAAACAGAACAGAACATTTGAAAAAAATAACTACAACACATACTTCATCAAATAACTGTAGAAGAGCTGTTAAAACATCAGGATGAGCTTTCTCTGTTTCATCAAATAGAACTACTGCATTAGGACAGGCAGCTAGGGCTCGTGTCAGTTGACCGCCTTCTTCATGACCAACATAACCAGGAGGAGAACCAATGAATTTGGAAACCTGAAAAAAAAAGATTAAAACAATGATAAACAGAGTTTACATGAAGCACTCAGTAGTAATAATTAGGAAATTGAATACCTATGACTAAAATTCACTGTCATTATACAATTAAGCACTTCTGGATAAGTTGAGTAACTTCAAGTGAGACTATTTAGTAAGGCTTTCTAAACTCACTTCTGTGTCGTGCATCAAAAGTCTAAATCATAAAAAAATAGTGGCTACGACTAACAGAGAAAGTTCATGCACTAGAGTCTTCTTCGATACGCTGAGAGAGAGAGAGACACATAGTGAAACTTTGGCATTTTTAGTGCCTCTCTGACAAGCCACTTAAGAATGCTGACAAAGAAAAAAAAAGATAAAGTCCAATTTTATGTATGTGGGATCATATTGTCTTATCATATTGTGCCACAACAGTAAGCAGCAATCTTGCAAACTTAACATTAACTTAGATGTGCCCTAACCGTTAATGCTGAACAGTAAACAATTCGAAATCTTATGTCATAATAATTGCATCAGTACTGGTTGGAGTGTACCAGACAATTTTGCGTGTATACATGAAAATCCAGAGGAAAAGACTAGAGTTTCAGTAGAAAAAAGAAACCACTGTGTTGTATTTGACGCCACTGAACACAAAAGACAGAAAGTGAACGATTTTCCAGTGGTAAGTTGTATTCCACATCTCTCAGACCCGGCATATACGTGCTGAAAACGTTGAAAAGTAATGTCATGTAATCGTAACCTTTACTATCCCTACAGGTTTTCTAGCACACCACGGCAACACTATGAACCTGTAGAGAATAAAGTTAGAAGATCTTCATGTAAAATCATCATCTCATTATACACTGAACTGAATACGCCGTTTCGAAAGCTTGAGTAACTCTCACTAACCGGTGATCATGAAAGAAGTCGGAAAAGAAAGAGAATGGAAGCCGTGAAAAGAACGACACACCATATCGACCTACGTTACTACGATTTCCAAGAGGTGGAAAAATCAATGGCAAGTAAATTTCAGTCTCTATTTCTCTTCAAAACTTTCCAAACACAATCCAATAATGCTTAAAACTATTTCAGTATACACTACCGGAGTGATTTTCCAATAGTTTATCTATTTTCTATTCCTTCATATCTGTGCTGTATACTTTATTGTCTATGATATTCACGGTTGTTGTTTGGAATAAAAAAAGCCGATCGTGTAACCAACATTGATTAACCATTTCAATAGCTTTAATTGCACTTTTATTGCAATTTTACTCATGTCAGTTGTGACCATGTTATTCAGTGTGACCACTCAGACCAGTCTTCATAGCTAGTATTATCGACTATTATTATTATTATTATCAAAGTCAGAAAATCAGTCGATTCTTCCCTTGGCTGAAGGCTCTTACAAGGAAAAAATACGTGGCTCATACATCACGTGAAATCCAATCGAAGTATGGCTAATGTCTTCGTGATGTGTAGTCTATATAATATACAACATAGTATGATCCTATATGCAAAAGAATTATACTAAATATATGCATTCTACTAATGCAAAAGTGAATGAAGTTCTGGAGTGCCTTTTAAGATAATTTTAAAAACTACATTTCCCATTGGTGTTAACACCTTTATAAAAAAAGCCATTTTTAACATGGTTAAAGTTATCCGGAACTTTGCAACTAAGGCATACAGTCATATTTATTAAAAATTATAAGACTATAAGTGAAGTAGAGTGTGGGTGCTTTATATTCTAATGTATGTGAATAACTTAAAAATATGTATTTTACCGTTAGCCGAATGCATTTAACTTCTATGTCAATAATAAGGGACTGAAGATACATTGGAATGTATATTCAGATACTAAGTTACGACTGATGGTATACGGAATCTTTTGTGTCACTAAAATGATATACCATTTATGAGTGAACTATTTGTACATATTTACTATAATGTACTTACAATAAATAGCCTGGCTACATAGCGTTTACCGTAAGCCTAGCTAATTTGTTTGAATGGCTGAACTATATATATTCTACCATCAACTGTATTAAGATTGTATACTTCACTTTTTAATCACATGAGAAAATGTGAGCTTGATGGATGTTTGACTAGAAATGACATGTTGCCTAGTCGTTCAAAAGACATGTGATTACGAGCGAACTAGGGTTTGGACACACTTATTCTAATGCATTTGAAAAGCCTAGAAGCACCTTGATAATATCCAGCCAACAAGCTTGAGATAGAAAGCAGGATTTAGTCACTTGGATAGTTTACATAACAGTCATCTGAATTTCCGACGGTTAGTAGTTGTCTGACAAACTTTATTCACATGAATTCAGAACACTCACGAAAGTACGTGACCAATAAGCATTAGGGGAATACAAACTTCTAAACAAACAAGAAAAATCATTCCCTATGAAAAAGAGCGTTTTAATATACACAGATACCTAGATTAACAAAACCATTGAAAAATTTTCAATGGAAAAATATTATTTCAACAAAAAAACAAATGAAATAATACAAAGTTCATGAGAATAAATACAAACCAGTAGTGTTCGAAAGTCAGTTTACATTTCGTCACTAATCTCGTCACACCGACTCCTAGATTAGAAATAGGAAGTGAAGTGGTAGAGCACGCTGACCGCTTCACTTATTTGGGAAGTACCATCAGCCAGTGCCAACGGGTTGATCTCTGACGAAATCTCAGGACGGATACACGGGACTCATTTCGCACATGCAGGTTTACGCCGTCTCTGGCGTAGACGCGATATCCAGCTGGCTGTCGACTAAAGGGCGTGTGTACTGCTCATCAGTCCGCTCCGTTCTCATTTATGGCTGTGAGACCTGGCCATTGAGAGGGGAGGCATGAAAAGACTAGCTGTCTTTGATCATAGGTGCCTGAGCTCTATTTCCCGTGTGAAGTAGTATAATAAAGTGAGCAATATTGAGGTTAGGTGTCAAGTGCTAGGTAAGGAGGGAAAATCAATAGACAAGGTTGTGAAGTTACACCAAGTGAGATGGTTGGGACATGTGTTACGCATACCTGCCTAGTCATCGCCTTCCTCGACGACAGGTGATGTTAACTGACATAGGGTCAGGCCGAAAAAGAGCTAGCGGTGGTCAAACCAAAACATGGTATCATCAGTCAATGAATTCCCTGACAGTTAGTTTAAGCCACGTAGGAAGGTGTAGACTTCCTGACCGGTTGGGGTCCTCGGGACGGTAAAAACCAATGGCTGGAGACAAATGGTGATATGGCTCAAAATCGTTCTCAATGGCTGGCGCAGATGCATCCACTCCTGGTGACTTATGATCTGCAATGAAACTATATTGTTCTTCGTTATCACTATTCCTTTGCCTCACACCTCTGTTTACTGTCTCTATTATGCATTTCTTCTACTTTCTTCTCTTGCTTTGTGTGGTACATAGAGTGTGGCGATTCGAACTGTCGCATGTCGGTACAAAGTTCTATGTCGAAAACAGACAGACAGACTATCATTATTGCAATGTTTCTTTTGTAGTGTATAATCAATATGAAAAGAGGGTCATTTGCCTCAACTAAATATTATCAATCTAACTAATCGGTTTGCGTTTTTAATGGCGGAATTACTTCTTAATTGTTTAGTCGGTGAACCTCAGTTGCATTTCTTATACAACTGACTGCTCGTTGTTCGCTTATTGGGAGAATGCTCGCTAACCATACAAGTGATCCGGGGTTTGATCCTCAGTTGGCTCACTGCTAAACCTCGCCTAACCGGTAGTAAGCCCGTTAAAGAGGTAAGTTTGGTTGTCAGACTAGCAACCTAACCCCGTAAAAAGACAAAATCATTGCTACTCAATATTTAAAACCTATGTTCCACTGGAAACACAAAGGAATTAAATATATAATAAAAATCACAATTGATTGTTTATTTGCGGAATGACTTCTCACTGTGCTAACATTTCATGCTGAAGAATTTGGTGAATTTTATGACAAGTGATACCATCTTCTAATATCAGTTCAGTTTGTTCGTTTTACAAAACTCGCTAGAATATTAGCAGTAATTATCAGTATTATCACTTCAGTCAATCAGTCGTGTTATTCATCACACGTAGCGTTATGAAATATTTCATTAGTAATATTGAAGCTATGTGTAACCAGTAAAGTGCTTCACTCTAACCTTAACTGTGTTAAACTTGATCAGGTCTCTTTTGTATACCATTTCGGTTTATTAGAATAACGTCCTTACGCTTTCTTATAACTAAACACAAAAGCAATGAACAAATGTGGAATGATGCATCTGAAATTTATCGTTTGAAACAGACTTGTTGATTTCATTTGTCATGTCAACTCTGATTACTGTTTATGTGTACAGCAAAAGTTGGATGTAGTTTGATGATTAATTTTATATTCAAGTACAGACATTGTATGTCAGAACTCTCTGTATCGTTTATTTAAATAATTTGATATATGCTAAAGCATAGGATCCTCTAAAGATACTAAATATGCTCAATGAACTATAAGAAGAATAATGCAGACAAGGTTAGAATTCACGCGGATTATCGAATATCAGCTTAGGTGTGGCTAGAATGGTCTTTGATCTTGGTCTCGTCATCTGTAGGTCCCAAGGTTCAATTCTTTGTGGACTCGTGGGTATGAACTATTGTAGAGTCCCAAACTGGAACAAAACAGCTGTCTGGTGCTCCCTGGTTTTTCTAACTGATATTGATTCAAGATGGAATCTACATTGAAATTAATTTAAATACTTACGAATGCCCCCGTCCCCCCACCCCTCGCAGTCTCAGCAATTCAAAGTAGAGAATATTTTAGAAAATTCTACACTCGTATATATATACATATATATATATATATATATATATATATATATATATACATGTTTTTACATACAATTCATCTTGTTTCATTTTTTTCACTTCACCACAATGAAATACATTAATTCACTGTAACACCTCATACACGTACACATATACAAAGTGATTGAGTGTGAAAAAATTAGCGCTTATGGTGATCGATATAACAGCGT